GGAGAGGGAAGGGAACTATCTTTCGTGTGTATTGTTGCTGTATCCAAAACAATCCTGACAAAATTTGGAGGAAATGTTTATGAAGCATTATATTTCAGGATGGCATTTAACTTGATTTAAGCATTTGCAGAAGGGGGAGAGAGGCATTTTTTGCTTAAGGCAGAATCTAGAGGCATTCGAGGAAATGTCCATACCAAGGAGAAGACTGCACCGAAGGATGACTTGTTGGTCGTTTATTCTGTGCAATGTATGGTCTGCAAACAACCGAAATAGGGGGGCATTACAGCAAGTTCCCCTGTTTTCCAAACCCACTTTTCAGATAAGTTTTCTCTGTAATTTTTGCCCACCGGTAGGTGAGGTGCTTTCTTTTCTCAAACTTTGTTGTCCATCCAAGGACCTTCAGAACTTTCAGTTGAGGTTCAAGCAGACTTGGGAGTTGATTTAGACGGAGTTTTGGAGTGGGTATGAGCTTGATGGAGTGGGTGTGGAGCAGGTGTGGAGTAGGTGTGGAGTAGGTGTGGAGTGGGCATGGAGTGGGCGTGGAGTGGGTGTGGGTTGAAGTGGGAGTGGCATTGCCAAGGGGTTGGGGCAGTGGGAGTGAAGCCGAGTCAGAGTTGAGTGTTAGAACTGAGGGGAGGTGTGATTAGAGCTGCATTTAAGTGCAGCTGTGAAAGGAAAGGTGGACTGTAGACTGGGTTGGGGGTTTAGGGTTTGGAGATTAGGTTTAGGGGTTGGGGTTTAGGGTTTGGAGAATGGGTTTAGGGTTTGGGGTTTAGGGTTTGGAGACAGGGTTTAGGGTTTGGGGTTGAGGGTTTGGAGACTGGGTTTCGAGTTTGGGGTTTTGGGGAGTATGTGTGTGCCCAGTCCATTTTGGTGAAACCCCAATAGGCTTTGCGTTTGCGTTTAACAGCAATTTCGTCAAAACAGACATATTTTAATTTCTTCACAAAATTGAAAACTCGTAAATTGGCCCAATTTAGGTCGATGTTTTCAGCTCCTGAGGGTACGGCGTTTTCAGAACGCCGTACCCCCCTGGGATGCAAGCTAAGTCCAGATACATCCAGGGGGTACGGCGTTTTCGGAATGCCGTACCCCCTGGACTCCAGCTAAGTCCAGATACGTGCAAGGGGTCCGGCGTTTGAAGGACGCTGGACCCTCAAGAGCTTGAAATTTCCACCTAAATCGGGCCAATTTACGAGGTTTCAATTTTGTTATGTCCCCTGTTCATCGGTGTTTTCTAGGGTTTCTTTCACAGGCTGGCCGACAACCTGTGGTGTGCGCGTGCTCGTGTAGGTTCTGTTTTTGTGACCGCCAGCCTGTGAAAGAAACCCTAGAAACCCTAGAAAACACCTTGGATGTATCTGGACTTAGGTGGAAAACACCAATTTATGTTCTGCTTTTGCGGCATCTTTTACAGTTTACTGCTTATGTCCCCTATTCGTCAGTGTTTTCTAGTTTTTTTTTAACTTTTTAAAGTTTTTTTAGTTTTTCTTTTGCATACTAGAAGAAATGTTTGGATACTAGAAGAAATGGGGTGGCAGTTGACTGAGTCAATGGTGAGTGAGGCTGACAAAGGGGCTTTTTTTTTTTTTGTTGTTGTTGTTGGGCTTTGGCAGGATTGCATTTTGTCTGGAATATAATTGTGGGCGCAATCCTGTGACCAGTGGCAAATCTTGTTGTTGCAATCCTGCGACCGGGAGCAAAAGGAGGCAGGAAGTTTCATTTATCATCAAATCAAATGCCGGTGAGCATGTGAAGGCTGAGGCTAGACAAGCCATTGAAGATATCACAGAATGAACAAGAATCGACCTGGTTTGCGACTTGGATTCATGCCAAACATGCAGATTGTGAAAGATCCTGTAGGGTGTTGAACCTTGGTCTCTATTTTGAAATACTTATCTCCTTCAATGAAACCCCAATAGGAGTCGCGCGCGTGGAATGTCAGTGTGCAAAGTGTAAATCTAAACCTAAACCTAAACCTAAACCTGCACCGCCCACTACTTTTTTAACCACCGTTCTGATTACCAGGAGGCGTGTGCGTTCGTTTGCGTTCATTTTTCGTCGGCCAGTTGGATCGTCGAATGACGGTCACAATTTCTTCCTTGTTCTGTACCAGTTGGGTTTCGGTGATTCTTTGAGGAGGTGGTAGCAGCTTAAGAGTGAAGGGTGTACAATGAGCACTTGCAAGGGCTTGAACTCCAACGTCTAAACTCCGGACCTGACAAGGGTTCCCTGTAATATTATATCAAACCACTCTCCTAAAACTTTTCGGCCGCGGAGGCGACTCTCGCGTCTGCGATGGTCCACGTTAGTGTTTTTCCGTGGAGACGTCCGATGTAAAATTATGACGTGCGAGTGACTAAGTCACGAAGCGTGAGACGCCCGATGTAAAATTCTGACGCGCTTGAAGCGGCGCGCCTGACGCGTCTGGTGCGTTTCGGTGTTCGTTTTTTCTCGGGCGAGTCCGGTTTTGTTTCGTTTTTTGCGTCCTCTTCTTTTTTTTTTGGCTTTGTGGTTGGCTTTGAGAAGGTCGGGCGCTCGAATCCTGGCGGGCCTGGTGGGTCTGGCGTTTGGTTTTCTTTTGGGCGAGTGCGGTTTCGTTTGGTTTCTGGGTTCTCTTTTTTTTTTTTTTTCCGTTTGTCGTTGGCTTTCGAAAAAGGGCCTGGCGCTTAGGGTGGGTCGGTAGGTGGGTGCTTGGCGCGGGCAGGTGGGTGCTTGGGGTCGGTCGGTGGGTGCTTGGGGGCGGTCGGTAGGTGCTTGGGGCAGGTCGGTTGGGTCCTGGGGCCAGTCCGTGGGTGTTGGGGCCGGTCCGTGGATGCTGGGGCCGGTCCGTGGGTGCTGGGGCCAGTCGGTGGGTGCTTGGGGCCGGTCCGTGGGTGCTGGGGCTGGTCCGTGGGTGCGGGGGCCGGTCGGTTGGGTGCTTGGGGCTGGTCCGTGGGTGCCGGGGCCGGTCGGTTGGGTGCTTGGGGCCGGTCCGTGGGTGCTGGGGCGGGTCGCTGGGTGCTGGGGGCTGGTCGCTGGGTGTTGGGGCCAGTCCGTCGGTGCAGGGGCCGGTCCGTGGCTGCTGGGAATGGGTGCTGGGGCCGGTCCGTGGCTGCTGGGGCCGGTCCGTGGGTGCTGGGGTGGGTCACTGGGTGCTGGGGGCTGGTCGCTGGGTGCTGGGGCCGGTCCATGGATGCTGGGGCCAATCCATGGGTGCTGGGGCCGGTCTGTGGGTGCTTGGGGCCGGTCGGTGGCTCGGGGATGGTCGACCGGTGGGTGCTGGGGTTGGCTAGGTGGGGGGGGGGTGCTGGGCTGGGGCGGTGGGGTCGTGCTGTGGGTGGCTCGGTAGGC